GCCACTCCCCTTCGTCTCTTCCTTACGTAGAGCACATTCTCCGTATGCCAGCTCCACTACACTGCTCTCTGGCTCCTGGCATCATCCTCAACTTTCTTCATCTTTATTTCAATCATGAAGATCCCTCTGCAAAAGCGCCTTCCCACTCTTCCTCCCTACAGATTCTACAAGGCTCAGCTAAAAGGGCATCTTCTCCATGACCTATCTCCTGAAAAGCCCCATCTAGAATACATTTCTCCCCTTTCTCCAGACATTAGTACTTTGTTGATGTCTACGCTAGATTTTTTCCACATTGTGTCTTTTAGAATAGCTATATATGAACATATTATTTTTATCTCTGTGAAAATGTGAAATCTATGAAGGCAGGAACATTGTCCAATTTGTCTATGATTTCCCGTAATATGTAACAGATAAGACTTATAAGTTGTGGAATTAAGAAAATCTTGGTTGAATTGAGTCTAACAAATTGAAATAAATTTTACAAAGTGGATTTGAGTCAAGCCCCATGAAAATACATTCAGGGATCTCATGTTCCCGTTTCTACTGCTTACCTGTAGACGCTCTCATCCATTTATGCCTTGAGTGACTTGTAGAAGGAAGGGGCTTTGCTGGGCACTGAGGGGGAAGAATATAGTCTGTGGCTTTAGGGAGCTTATAGTTTAGCTGGATAGACAAGGTGCCAAACAATAAATCAGGTTTTAATCAGATTTTTAGTCAACACAAAACTCCTGATGATAATGTAGAAGTCATTCATTCTACCTAGAGGAAATGAGGTAATTAAGTGAATAGGATTTTGGAAAGTAGACAATTAAAGGATGGAAGATATTTCAGGAAGAGGGAGGAGCCTGAACTCTAGTCAGAAGGCAAACCTTTGCATGGAGTGTTTGGGGGGACTGCTGTGAGCAGGAGCAGCCTGGAGAATGCAAATGGGGATGCTCCAGGAGGGGTGGCCGAGTGGGAGTGGAAGGCCAGGGTCCCAGCTGGTCTGGCTACTGGACAATTCTTGGTGACCCAATTTCTCCAGAGCTGGAAAATATTTAATCTAAATTCATATGCAAGTGGACACAGAGGAACAAATTAAAAATTGGCAGGTCAAATTATTTCAAGGAGGATGGGGAGAGAATCTCTTTCCTTGCTCCCTCCTTTCAATTTCTGTGCATTAATTATACATCAGCATCATGATAAGTTTTAAGGATGCAGACATGAACAAGACACATGCTTAGAATCACCCTTACCCCAGCCCCTAAGAAAGTTTATAGCCTGGTGATAGATCCAGACAAGGGCTGCACAGGGCCCAAAACTGTGACATAGGGAAGCTCAGAGGCTATGAGCACAGAGGACCCCCTCAACTGAGTGATGGCTGGAGATGGCGAGTCAGCAATGTCTCTAGGAGGATGTTTGGGCTGAATGAAATGGAAATAGGGAGACCCTGGCGTCCCGTTAAAAGGAGGATAAAGGTATTTTAAGGAGGAAGAAACAGCCCAGGGAAGGATTAGGCATGAGAGGGCATGGTGCCTCCAGGGAATGCAAGTATCTGTGCCTAGCGCCCAGGGTGTGTGGTAACAGAGGCAGAAAAAGACACGGAAGAAGTGAGCATGGTTTTGTCAGACTACGTAAGTTAACACATATGGCAGCTGGACCTTTCACTGTTTGTACAGAACGGGAGAGGACTACTGAGAGGGAGGGAGCTTAGCGCCTTGTGGCACCTAGGGTAGTCCTAGAGTCAGAAGCAGCAGCCATAGCTGGCAGTTTTAGAAATGCAGAATCTCAGGCTTCCCTGGAGACCTACTGAGGCTTGAGAAGCACTGGTTAGGAGCACAGTCTGAATCCTGGCTCTGCATCTGCCAGCTCTGCAACTGCCATCCTCACCTTTCTTCTCTGGGCATCAATATACCAGCAGATTCTACTAAAATTTTTTAGCTCTAAAGAGTGTGTGTAGGGGTGTGAAATTATAGGCCATTTTGGTAGGAGAGTTGATCGTTTTCAAAACTGGCTCACACATGTCTGCTCCCTGGATGATACACTGTTTGGATTTATGCCCTCAAGCCTGCAGCCAATGGAAAAGATCGTCAGAAACCATGAACTTGCAGTTGAAGACAGGTCATCTGGGAAACCAGCAGTCAGACCCTCAGGCACTCACCACTCTCCCTAGCTGGAGCTTCCTACAGGGAGGCAAAGAAGGGGGTTGCTTCTGTTCCCTCCCACCAATAATGTTGCCTCTTTTTTAAGGAAAGAGAAGAGGAAAAAAGGAGAACCTATAGGACCGGATTCAGAGGCACATAATCCCACAAGGGCTCCCCTGGCTGTTGGGTGAGGATAATCCACAATGTGTGTGTATGTGTGTGTGTGTGTTGCAGGTAAAAGGGTGTTGCTTAGGCAGACAGTGCCCTAAACCCTAAATGTTGCAATTAAGAGAAGGAAGGTTCATCTGTCTGGTCAAGTGGTACACAGGAGCTGTACTGCATTTCCCAAACAGCTTCCCCAGCTGGCCTGCGTAAAGGCGGCAAATATGTCTCTCACCAGGCTGCCAATTCAAAGATAAGAAGGAATGGTGGCTAGAAAGCCAAATCCTTGCCTGGCTCTGCAGAGACACAGGGGTTAGCCTGGAGAGGCTTCTCCTTACTCCTGAACTGCCTGAGGGGGAGGGGGAGGAGAACTTGGAAAGAGGGAGCACACCCCTGACCTGGGCCACCAAGACCCCTCAGCTCTGCGCATCTGTGCAATGAGTTTTCCAGGCCAGACGGCCAGACTCATGTTCATGGAGAGAGGGATGAAGTTCGAAAGAATATGTACCAATGTAAAATGTAGGGAAGGGCACAGGACCAGGGGCAGGAAGAACTGGGGTTCTCGTACCAGCTTCATTTCTAAGTGGCTCTGTGACCTTGGCAAATCTCTTCTTCTCTCTAATGCTACTTCCCTATGTGTGTGTATTAATCACTACCATTAATCCATACCAACACCCAAGAATAAGATATTGTCCATTTACTAAGCATTTATGGTAAGTAAGGTGGTGCCTCCTGGGTTTAAATATCATCTATATGCTATTGATTAACAAATTTTAATCTGCAGCTAAGACCTCTTCTTTAAATTTGACATTTGGTTCCCAATGCCTATTTTCCATCTCTACCTGATGTTTAGTAGTCCTCTAGAACTTATATCCTGCTCATCTCAACCCTGACCTGCCTATACCTTCCTCCGACTCAGTAGATGATTAGTCTATTCATCTGCTTGTTCAGACTGAACAATTTGGGATCTTTGACTCCTCTTTATTTTTCACCTTCATACCCAATAGCAAATTCTGTCAAATCTATACTTTAAATATACCCAGAATTTGACCATTTCTCACCATCTTCTTCCCTTACCCCTGGGGTCCAAGCCAACTCTTGCCTGCATTAGAATAAAAGTGTCCTTGACTGACCTGGGTCCATTTGCCACACAGCGGGGGGAGTGGCCCAGTTAAAATGTAGGTCAGACCATGTTGCTCCTTTGCTTAGAATCCTCCCAAGACTTCCCAACTTGCTCAGAATAAAACCCGAAGTCCTCATCATCTGTATCACATCCTGCAACACCCCCAACCCAACCTTCTGCTTTCCAAGTTAGCTTCCTACTCCTCCCACCTCCCACTGCCCTCAACCACACTGTATCCTTGCCCGCACTGACCCAACAGCAAGTTCTGGCATTCCTGCCACAAAGTGGGGCCCTGTGGTTGCGTCTGCCTAGGATACTTTTCTCCCACACAGAGCGTGGCTTCCTCCACCTGCATCCTGAGGTGCCTGCTCAAAGGTCACCTTCTCAGAGAAGCTTTCCCGCCACCTCCCTATGAAATAACAACTCCACTCCCACTGCCAGCTTAGCATTCCATATACTCTGTGCTCACCCCTGTTTATATCACCTGACGGAGTGTATCTATGGGCCTGTTGGCCTACTGCAGGGCTGCCCAGAACTTTCAGCAACGATGCTCATGGTCTACTTCTGGGTTGTCCGAGAGGTAGGCATGAGTCACATCTAGCTATGGAGAACTTGAATTATGGGACCAGGGAAATGAATATTATGTTTATTTAATTTTAATCAATTCAAGTGTAAATACTCACATGTGGCTAGTAGCCACCTTGTTAGTGCAGATTTAATGTTTTCCTAGGATAGAAGCTTACTTAGGGCAGAGATGTTGCCTATTTTGTTCACTGCTATATCCTCGATGCCTAGAAAAGTGCCTGGCTACTCAGTAAATATCTGCTGAATGAATGAATAAATGAATATCCTAGGAGCTTTCCATGCATTATTTCATTTAATTCTATCAGTAGGCTTGCAAGTTAGATGCTATTTTCTTTGGCTCTCAGAGAGAGGAAGTATGTTGGTAAAAAAGATCCAGTGATTTTATACTCTGTGATCAACATCTCCCTGCTTCAGATGAATAAGTTCTGGGGATCACATATAGCATGGTGAACAGTTGACAATACAGTATTATACACATATTTGGAAGTTGCTAAGAGAGTAGATCTCAAAAATCATCATCACACATATATACACACACAAAATAAGTATGTGAGGTGACGGAGGTCTTAATAAACCTTATTGGAGTAATCACTTTGCACTATATGTGTGTATTAAAACATCACATTGTACACCTTAAACTCACACAAAGTTATCTATCAATTGTATATCAATAAAGCTGGAAAAATGATCACAAACACCCAGCTAGTAAGAGGTGGATAGGATGTGAGCTCACGGGTGTCTGATAACATTCAGACACTTGGCTTTGCTGAATTGGGACAGGATGCTGTCTGTGGGCCTTTCTAACTCTGAGATTCTGTGGTTTCATGAGGATTTTCTCCCTTATCAGGCAATGGCAACATGTAGTTTAACCACCAATGGGACTGATGGACCTTCACACAAAGCCCCTTGTCAATTCCTCAGAAGCCATGAGTCTTCAGGTACAGATTGCGGACCATCTTTCACCCCCAATCCTCCTACTTCTGCCCAGCCCTGTCCCAATGGCTCACCAGTTTCTGGGTCACAGAGCTGCTCACAGGCATCTGTTGTCCTCTGTCCACAGAGGTCCCTCACCCACGGGGAGGTGGCGTTGATCTGGTAATACAGGGACAGCTTGGCCGGGTTTAACCAGTCAGAGATGTCCAGGTAGCTTCCTTCACTCACCACAAAGCTGCTCCCTGTAGGCAAACAGAAAGAAAGACAGCTACTTTCTCTCCAATTGTAGGGTACAGATGTGACTCACTGATGATGTTGCAGGCCAGAAACATGAACAGGTGCATAAAAGCCATCAACTGACCCCAGTCCCCTGTCTTCACTTGTCTATCCACATTTACAGGGCATTTGTCATGTGTCAGTCATGGTATCAGCAGCCAGCAGAGACAGCAGGAAATCAGACACAAGAGATAGGTTAGCCTAGGGGTTCAGAGGCCCTTAAGCCTGAGAGCAAGTTGGGCTCAAATCCTGGACCTGCCCTTATCAGCCATTGACTTTGGACAAGTCCCTCAATTTCTCTGGCCCCCAATTACATCATCTATAAATAGGAATATCAATGGAACCTACCTCACTGTTGTGAAAATGAAATGAATGAATGCAGAAAAAGTGCTTAGCCAGTGCATGATTTTTCCTATTAGTGAATGATTAAGTAATACAATATAAAAGAAAAAAATAGCTGACGTCGCTGTCACCCAGGCATCTGCCCAGAACAGGGTAATTCCCACAGGGGCCCGATTGGATGGGTTCTATCAATGGGAGAAACTGCCTGAGTATGAGGGAAGTAGCATCCTGGCCTAACTCATTTTTTTGTTTTTGTTTTTGTTTTACTTCTATTAGAGGGAGATTCAAAGAAATCTCTAGTGCTGCTAAGGAAAAAAGCATCACTTGTACATTGGAAAATGCCATAATGTTGGGAATCAGTAGGGGGAGATGGCATCTGGGGTGAATGAGGCCCTGCAGCTTCTATCAAAATGGAGCAGCTGCGACCCAGCTGTAGCCAGATCTGCCCAGTGGGTCTAGAGGCCAGTGGTGTAAGTACTTCAGGAGAAGCTGGAAATTCAGAATTTGACTGTAATCAACCAATTTGGAAATCATGGCTTAAATTTGTTCTTGAAAGCTTGTGTAGGCCAAACAAAAGACCCAAGCTTTGCAATCTATGCTCTAAAACCCTCTTCTTTACACACACACATACACACCCCTACATACATACATACATGGATTACATATGTAAACATACACATATTTTGGGGGGACAAGAAACGGAAGTCCATCAGGGTGGGGACATACGGATGTAAATTGTTAGGGCACAGAAGTAACAATATAGCCAAGGTAAAATTGCACAGGGGAAAGAAAAAAGGAGTTTAAATAGGGTCACGCTCCGCAAAGCTGGACTCGGCAAGTGGTTCTAGATTTATGGAAGATCTAGAGATCTCAGTAGCAGGAGATCTTAAATTACCTCAGAATGAACATGACTTGACCTCTCCACATTTGCTCTTCTCTATTTTACTATCAACCAACAAAATCTTTCTATGTATGCAGTTTACATTTTCCAAGAGAGACTCAGTTAATAGGCATCACATGGGTTTGATGGCAACTCTCTGCCAGGTCCCATCGGACGTGCTGGCTGCCCAGTGGCTGGACTCCTCTTGGCTCTGGTGCCCAGCTCTGATCTAAGGGGCCATGGCCAGGGACACAGGACCCCATCAGTCTTATGGGGCTGCTCTGGGAGGTCTAAGATTCCCTGAAAAGGGTAAGGGCATAAGCAGGCAATATTCTCTAACTCACACAAATGTTATGATTTATGTCATCTTATAGAACGAGTTCCTAAGTTAAAGCACAGTGGACAATGTAATTTTGGGGGAGGACGAAAGAAGAGTCTGTATGAAAAGCACATGGGGTAGATAGCATCAGGCTTCAGGCTGAGAGATAAGGAAATGACCACATTTGAAGTTGGCCTTAAAATCCTTGGCAGCTAAAGCCAAAGAGAAGTCTGATGGATTCCATATTTCAAATTTCTGGCAAAGGAAGATATGCAAATCTATCTGCAAAGCCATATTTCCCCCTCTGGAACTAAGCCCGAGCAGAAACACATCACGTGGGTTCTTGTGCCAGGCACCGAGCACCAGTTATCAACTACAGATTTTTCTTTTAAAAAGCACAGTCATGCTGTTTAAAAGGATAAATCTTGTATTTATTCTCACTAAAGACTGAGGGATAGATATTGAATTGTGTCCCAGGGCTGAGTTTGGCTAATTCCACTCCTTTAAGAAAGCTGCACAGTGCAGTTATAAAGAGAACAGAGTCAGCAAGACACATATTCTGATCTTCACTCTGCTGCTTACGAGTTCTGTAAACATGGACAAGAAAACACATCCTCGATCATCTCTTTTGAAAAATGTGGATACAGATTGCTCCTTCAAAGAGTTAATATAAAAATTAAATAAGGCAATGGATTGTCTTAAGTCAGGTTCACCAGAAATCAGACTCAAAGGCAGAGACAGGCATGCAGGAGGTTTTTTGGGGCGTTGGTGTTCTCTTCGAGGGGTTGAGCAAAGTGGGCTTGGGCAAAGGGGGAAGCGGACTCGCTCTGCAGTTGCAGGAAAGCTGTCAGCAGGTGCCATAAGAAGCTCTGGAGCTGTTGGTCCTTCAGAGTTGCCCCACATCAAGACAAGGGTGTCTAGTCTTTTTACCCTGCATTAACTGGTCATGGGCTGTGGGCTCTCCCCACGGAAGGGACCGTACATTTTGGGTGAAGTAGTCCTTTTCAGTGGAAGACATTTCTCCAAGACAAGACTCAGAGACAGTAGTCAACCACCAACATTCCTGGCAGCTGGGGAATGAGTACCTACATTCTAGTGAGAAATCAGGATGCGGCATTACCATGTCCACTACAGTATGTGAGGTCCCTGGCACACTGTGAAATCTCAACTAACAGGACCTATTTTGATTACTATTCAGATTTCTTATAAACATGGATGCTCTGAATGCAATACTGGTTAACAGACTATCTTTCAAACATAAGTCTCATTGGAAAGGACTGGCTCAAAGGAAGGTTATCCTCAATGTCTTAAAAAAGATACCATTGTAAGGTATGCTGCTGGTACAATGGCAGAAGGGATCTGCTGTCTTCTGAATGCCCTGTCTGTTCCGGCCCCCGGGTCGAATGTGTGATAACACCCTGCTTACTTAACCCTTGCAAGCACCTTGGAGGATACGCACTTCCCCCATTTTACAAAAAGACAACATGAGGTTCAGAGGGAAACTCATTTAGCCAAGTTTACACAATTAGGAAGTAGCCAAAGTGGAAACTGAACCCAGGTTTTCCAGCATGCAATGCTGGGACCTGCCCCTTGTTCCAGGCTGTCTTGGAAATCGGGGCTTGGGTTGACAGCAGGCAGAGCCGGTCGCTCCACACCTCTGGTAGTCAGTCCTTCATTCCCCTTCAGTGTGTGTCCGTGGTATTGGAGACCTTTTGTTTTCTCTGATAGACTGTGAGTTCATACAGGGAGGAGGTCGTGACTCATCCATTAGTCCTTATCAATCCAGCTCTCAGTCAAATGCCTGGCACTTGCTAGGGGCTTTGTGAATGTCTGTTAATGAGTTAATGGCATCAACATTCCAGGCTTGACTCGAGGGAAGTTCAGCCCACTTTGCCATAGGATGATGAAGCAGGAATGCTTCCACATCAATCTCTACTTATGTTTTCTTTTATTCTGGGAGAGCCAGAATATATGATGATCCCTGCAGAGGCGCCCCAGTTCCAAACTAAAACTTGAACTCCACTCTCATGGCTCCTGAGTTCTCCTTCACCCTATGGGTGTGTGATGTGGATCATTAACATAGAGATGCTAGAGGGACTCCGTGTGAAGGGACAAGGACATGTGGCAGGGAGATGCCACCTCAGAGTGAAGAGAAGTAACCATGCAAAATGGAATCAGCAAGACTTTATCCCAGTATTCATTTAGACAACATTTATTAAACCCCTTCTTGTGTAACAAATAGACACACAAAATGAGAAGAGACATGAGACAGTTATAGACTTTGAAGGTCCAATGTGAGCACAGATAGATCCAGGGCAATCTAGGTTTGTAAGAGGTGCCTGAAAGAGATGGGCATTGTCCTTGGATACGAAGGGAAGAAAAAAGAGGATTTAGAGAGGAATTATTGAAGAGTTGGCTTTTAAGCTAGACCTTGACTAATGCAAAAGAGAACAAGGTACCAGGCAGAAGTTGAAGTGGCATTTGCCCCCGGAGGCTCCCCTTCAGACCTAGCTCATATTCCTCTTAATCTTTTTAATTCTTACAAGATCCCATAGGAAAGGAATAGAAATGCATTATTCCATGTGTCTATCTCTATTTGTCCGAAGGACCCTTGTTATATTTTCTCGGTTTTGGATCAAAAGTACCCGCCCCCCCTATTTCTGGATGTTCTGAATTTCCTCCTTGTGTTCAAATCAGTCTCCCCAGACAGCAGTGGCTTTAAAATGAATCTTTGCCAAAATCTCAACTTCAAAATGTCATGTTCCCTAATTTTTTTAAATATACATATACATATATATGTATATATATGTGTGTGTATGTGTGTGTGTGTGTGTGTGTGTGTTTTTCTCCCACCAGCTTGTGGGGATATACATCATCTAATTAGCCAAATGGATTTTCGGTTCAGCCCAGTCGTTTCCTTATCTAGCATCTGAAGCTCAGCATTGCTCAGGGGACTGCACGGGCACAGAGGTCCTCATTAACTCTGATCTTCAATTACCTTGATTATAAGCCTGCTTCCATAATTGTGCAGCATAGATCAGGGGTGAGCTGTGGAGCTCAGGCCACTCTAGAGTGGTCTCTGAAAAGCCAGAGGCATACCAGCCCCTAAAGAAATAGAAAGCTACAGATGAGAACTAAAAATACCAAGGAAGGAGGTATTACCAGACAAAATGGCCTGGAGAGTTAGACGGCTGCTGCAAAGCCCTTTCATTATACCTCCAGTCGTGAGACAGACCTCTAGGAACCATGGACTGAAGATTTCAAAAGAAGGCTCTGGTCACAGTGCTGAGTGGGGGAGCAATGAAAGACTGTGTGGCTGAAAGAGGGTCTTCATAAACAAAGCTCAGGGGAATGTTTTAGCCAAAAATATTCAGCTCTCTTTTTTCCTCTCTCTTTGGGTGTGAAATAATTAAAGGTTTCCCTCC